TGCAGCTCGCGGTAGTTCGAGCGTACGAAATGCAAATGTTAGAGTAGGCAGGCTAAAATACCCATGCAACTTTTACGTGCGAAAACGCATTGTCTTCAAACAGCTGAGAATAGGCTGCTGTCACTGACACGCGTGCATCTCCCGACACAACTCAGTGAAATTGCTCGCTGCACACGCACGTGCGAGAAACGTACGCAGGTTTCGACAGCCGAACACCGCCTCGTCCGCGAATTTCGGTGAGCGTAACACCCGCAGTTCACGGGGTAGCACTAAAACGACGCACAAACACACGTTATTCGTTCTTGCGGAACGGCGCACCATGAACCGAAGTCGGAGCCGAAAGCGCTCTCCGTGGTTGTCTCGAGCTCATGAAGCCCTACAAACTAATCACTGATCAAATGCATGCACATCAGTACAAGGTTCCGAATACGGTTTGCAAAAATCCGCTCGGTAGATATATATCCCCACAAGAAGAATGCGGTGGCGCTGTGGTGCAATGAGTAAGACATCTGCTTCACGTGCATGTGGTCACGAGTGCGACTCCAGTTCTGTGCTTTGCATGCTAATCTCGCAAATTTATGTAACTGTGATACTAATGGTTTTCAAACTACCTGTAGTCGTTATATCCGCCACATTCTCAGCGAGAAACCGCGCTCAAAAGAGTTAAGTACTGCTTTTTTTTTTCGCCACATCAGGGCCGGGCCGCCTACGGAATGTCACGCCTAACCGCAGGCCGTATCTTGCGAGGAAAAATTTGACCTAAAATCCCGTCTTATCTTTGTCCCGGCTCTTTTGAAGGCCACTTCAAATCGGGCCGATTCCTCTGGGACACGGCTACGGAGCCGCGTAGAAGCGGCGATAATTTGACTTGATTTCCTTCCTGCGGGCGTGTAGTCTAGCCAGGATTTGACTAAGAGTGTTCGCGAACGACCCGGGTTAGATCTTCACTAAGATCCAAACAACCCTGATTCAATCCCTACTCTGTTGCATTTTCTTTGTGTCGTTCTCAATTTTTTTTGGTCCGCAAAAGATCATAATTTTTCGCTCAGAACCAACAACGCCAATGCCGCAATTTCAGCGAAATGAGCTCTTTAACTCTATCGCATTAAAATTTATGTGTTTTGTGATGATGTCCCAAATAAAGATTACCTTAAGTGAATTACAACTACCTAATGGTGGCTGTACAGCGCAAGCCTCAAAGTCGTTGTGGAAAATGCCTCAGACATTACGAAAATAGTTTACGGAATCATACTGTTACGGCATATTCAGTCCTTTATTGTCACGTGGGAAAACATGGACGGATTAGTAAAATATGTCAGGAATTTAGCGCACCGGTCCGTGCGAGGTTTCGAACGCGTCGCGTGGTGCTCGGGGTAAGCGCTCGAGATGTGTTGTCGGAAAAACACACGGGATGCTTTTGTTTCCGGTTTTAGCCTTGGTATGAACAACTTCAACAATTGCATTCGTTGTTCCGCCGGTCGAAGAGCGAAGCAGCGAGAGAAAGTGGGCCATGCACCGGATGTATATTGATCGACTGAGTGATTGAGAGACGTTTCCACCTTTCGAGCCTTGGCGTATGGGGAATTCACACAGAGAGAGTGAACGACAGTCGCGGACAGAAACGGATTGTTTTCGTGTGCACCTGCAGCAAGCGTGACAATTGTTTTGGTTTCCATCAACGCGTGTGCCACGGCGTGTCTCACCTTGAGACCGTCGCTTTGACAAGCGCGACAATTACGACGGTGAAACTTGTTACTACAAAGTTGGTACTTCTTCTCGCTGGAATCGGGCAACGAGCATGAGAGCTTTAATACTTTCGTTACCATGGAAAAAGACGAAAATTTTTACAAAATATTCCTGAAATTTATTTTCTCAACATGTACAACTGTTATTTCTTAATAAAATCGTACCATATTTTCAAGTCAATAGATTTTTTTATTTCATTAATTGCGTTAAAAGTATATAGCTCGAAGGTGGCTTCACCGCATTACAATATAATAAAAAAATGCAATGAAACCTAGAACATAAATGGCACAACTTGCACGAGTGTGGTCTTCTCGCATTAACAAAACTATGACGAGTGTAACGCCATTGGTTTCTTGTGGAACCAATTTTTGTTGTCGACGAGTGCAGTCGTCATCGGTCATTTTGGTACAAAACCTCATGGCGATTTCACTTGTCAACGGGAGGGAGAGGATCAAAAAGAAGCTCAGATAAACGTTGCACTCTTTTTTTAAAGCTAATGCTTTAGATGCCTTATCAAAACGGTAACATTGACCGTGGGCGTCGGAGTCCCAACTGGGCGGCTTCGCCACGAGTGTTGCAAGAAATCAGCATCGCGCGTTCGTGATACTTACATGACGTAGCCACTGCGTCACAGGCGCTAAAATTTGTAACGTCAACATGACGTATTTACATGCCATCGTCGCTTGGTTGGACTTGGGCAAATCACGGAGGCAGTGTAACAAGCCAGGTGAACTGCAGAAAGCTTGCAATGCTTCCGATCCTGGAGGCTGGGCTGAACCACGTCGAGTGCAGAAGCCTTTCGGAGAGGAACAGGGCATGATGAATACAACGAATGCAAAAAAAAAGAAAAGATGGCTTTCGACTTCGAGTTATAGTTATCGATGAAGAACCCTGTGAACTGTTGTTTTGTGTGCTTGTGTGTGAAAAAGTTTAGGGACATTGAGTTCAGATCGGTGAGCAACAATCGTGCTTCCAGCGGCGGCTGCGCATTATGAGAAAGCATTTCTTTTTGGTTGAGGAGACACTTGGTCTATTTACATAAACACTGATTGATCAGTTGGGTTACCGTTCTTAGCGTAATAGCGTTGAACCCAACATCGTTAGAAGACCACAGCCGTGTTCATTCCGCTGGGACTGAATTTCTAATACGTCTTGACGCGTAAGGTGCTTTGCCGTGGGCTGACAGCCTTCGCTGTAGTAATACAGTGGATTGGTTAACGATTGATTGACATGTGGGCTCTAATTTTCACGTCTCAAAGTGACTCTGGCTATGGTTGATGTCCTGGTGGAGGGCACTCGATAATTTCGACCACCTGGAGTTCTCTAATGTGCACTGTCATCACACAATAGAAGGACATTCATCAATTGGCCTCTATCCCAATGCGACAGCCGCTACCGGGACCGAACTTGCGTCTTTCGGTTCAGCAACCAAGCACTGTAGCCAAGAAGTTGCTGTGGTGTTCACGTAAAAAAATGCCGCCATATCCACGAAGTGAATGATGATGAGTGGGCGAAGCTCCGGAGGTAAACCTGGTAAACCATGAATCCTCCGTACATTTTGCCCACTCGATTTTATTGCAACGCTCCCCCTAGCGTACGTCACCGCACTATATCGAACGATGACACGCGCCGTATGTGGCATCATTCCTATTTTATAACACCTCGCATCTTTCATAATCAACTACACGTACCGCCGTCTAGTTTATAACATCTTGCATCTTTTGGACGGACGGACGAACGTATGGACGGACGGATGGACGGACGGACGGACGGACGGATGGACGGACGGACGGACGGACGGACGGACGGACGGACGGACGGACGGACGGACGGACGGACGGACGGATGGATGGATGGATGGATGGATGGATGGTTGGATGGATGGATGGATGGATGGATGGATGGATGGATGGATGGATGGATGGATGGATGGATGGATGGATGGACGGATGGATAGACGGATGGACGGATGGATATGGTTGTACCCTTTAGATCGGGCGGTGGCTAGCGTAATACTTAGAACTGAACGAGAGGTGGCTACATACAGGGGACGCACAGCCCACGCCTTAAGGAGCTTCGCTCCTAAAATAATGTCATCCTGTGAGGTGTTGGGCAATCTTGGGACACTAATTAGCCTATCACTTGGGCTCGAGTTTGCTTGAAAAGATAGGTGACCTACAGGCATACATTATTTGTTTTCAGTTGAAGTTTGTCATTTATATAGGCGGGTTTCGAAAAACAGACGACGTGTCTGGGATCAAAACAAGTGCTTGCTTAGTACGTATACTTTGACCCCGACTGGTCGCATTCGTTGGTGCGATGTCAAATCTCACGATAACTTGGAACCTGTGAACACGGACAGTTCTGGGGTAAGAACACTGCAAACACCTTACCGATTACCTGCGCTAAAAACTGTGCCCCTTAAGCTCCCGCACCCTTTTAACGCCAGCGGTCTTGTCTATGTTATCTTCAAAAGCGTCGAGATGCGGCATGTTCAATGGCTACAAGTTAACTTTGACGGCCTCTGTCTCGTCAAATCAAAAACAGCACTCGCAGGTTTCTTCCGTGCTACCTATCCCATAAGACTGAGGACACCGCAATGTGTAAATGACCTTCTGCTACGAGCTTAGAGCGACGTAAGCTCGTAACCAACACCATCGGTTGTTTACAAACACTAAACTTGTTTTGCGACACATTATTGCTACAGGCGTCAAAAAGACGTGTGTATTCTTTCGCTGTGCTGTCCCGCTGTCTGGCTTGAACTATACCGTGCACAAGAGCTGTTCAATGGTTTCATCTTCAAAAACTATCGCGAATTTCCGTTCCTCATTATCGTTGATTTGCAACATGACTAGTTATGGGTATTACTCAGAATGTGCGCGCAGCTCTCAAGTGACCCATGTTTGTGCTACCTGTTAGTGACGCAACGTGCTTGGCTATATTTCGCTCGGTGCAGCTTCCGCAGTGCTGCACCGTTTAAGTGATATTCGCGCGCGAAACTACAGGCTAAAAGAAGAAAGCCACCGAAAAAAGAAAGAAGAGACGAGCCGATAGGCGAACAAATAGAAAGAATAATGAAAACGAGGAAGAAAAAGAATAAAATAAAATGAGCCCGCTTGCAGGAAACGAGTTTTTTTCTTCGTCCCTTCGTTCTCTCCGAAATATTCTCGCCGAACGCTCTTTCTCGGCTATCCTTCCCTCTCCCGCTCGCCCCGCTCTCTCCCGAGCCGTTATACCGACAGCGTCCGCAGCGAGATACACCTCGCCCGCCCGTTTGTGGTCCTCGTCGGACTGGTCGAGTTTCCACGGCGTGTACGCAGAGTGCCACTTGCCATGTTCTCGGTCATCGCGTTCGTCGTAGTCCTCTGCTGCTCCGTTCAGCGTTGCGCGGCGGACGACGTACGCGCGACGCCAGCCGCGCCGACGTCGACGCCGAACCCCAGCGGTACCGCCTCCACGGAGGAGCTCAAGTCGGCCTCCAACGAGTCCCTGGTCGAAGCACCGCCTCCTCCCACGACGCAGCAGTTGGACCCAGACTACGGCGAAGGCGAAGACGAGGATGAAGAGGAGCAGCCGGCAAACGACACACAGGTGACGACATCGTCCTCAACTCCTCAGTCGGTCCTTCTGTATAGGCCGTCGGGTCGGTTGCCTTTCGCTGTGCGACATCCTGCCTGTTTAGGCGACAAAGCCTACCACGCGTCTCCATCGCGTCGTAACTTTTCAATAACCGTTATGTACAGAGGCCACGTACATACATACATACATACATACATACATACATACATACATACATACATACATACATACATACATACATACATACATACATACATACATACATACATACATACATACATACATACATACATACATACATACATACATACATACATGCATACATGCATATACATACATACATACATACATACATACATACATACACACATACATACATACATACATACATACATACATACATACATACATACATACATACATACATACATACATACATACATACATACATACATACATACATACATAGTGGCTCTGGATAATGGTGCCTAAAGTGAATCTATAATGTGCAAATGGTGGAGTGTTTCTAATAAAGATAATGAAGTGATGGCCACGTGCTTAAAGGGCCATTCAGCTTGAACCATACGTTAATTTAGGTGGACTAGATATACTCTACAAGGCTTATTGTCGTTAATTTAGCAGCCATAGGTTCATTAATAGATTAGAAAATGTTTCATCGAAATGTGAAATGTCTCACCCTAAATTTCCCGCCGGAATATCCTGTGGAGTCGTCATGAATTTCAATATGTATTTTCGCGTGTGTTGGTCGCACTAGCTCAACTAAATTTTTTCGAGTTTGGTATCTCGAATCTCTCTTCCTCAGAAGAAAATATACTTTATTTTACCGACTAGGAACAATGCTAGCACTATAGTAAACGTTGTCAGAACTTTAACGCCTCGGCTACTGACGCGAGAACTTGAAGGTGGCGTCGTCATGCACATCTTATTTTCAATCGTTTTCTCGCTTAGTAAGCGCCTTGTCGTATAGTGTGGTGTTTTTGGTATCGTGAACGAGTAATTTGCTAATATGTGACAAATTGTTTTTTCTCTTTGGTGAACCTTAGAACATCGCAATCGCTTGGATCATTTCTCGCTGCAATTTGTAGTGATGTAATCAGTTATGTAGAAGAAAAAGTCGGACAAGGTTCTCAAGGTCTGTTAAGGTGACGAGGGCCTTAAAGAGAGAAGAAAAAAGGAAAGAAAACCATTGAAGTTCCGGTGCTATTCTGACATGCCATGAACACGACTCCCACTGAATTTATTAGACATACCTCAATACGTTGTATCAGTTGCCCATGCTGCGTACCACCTCACGCGTTCTTCGTTTCCCTTAAATGTGTAGCGACCGGCCCATTCATACCACTCCACAGTTTACTTTTAAGAGAAGAGCATATTAATCAAGTCTCGTCTGTAGTCACGAACTTTTAAGAACCCTATTGTAATGTGCATAGTGACTGCTTAAGTGGAAATGCTTTGGCAGTTTGTGCAGTGGTTATCTGTATGCTTACCTTGCGAGTCGTATACGCTGATTAAATCTGCACTAGAGTTATTTTTATTACAGATTAAGTTTTTCCCGAAACTGTAACGAAACTGTAACTTTTTACCGTTCAGGTACGAACGGTAAAAAGTACATATTTACAGAGCATATGAAAACACAATTAAAAACCGCATCGTTGAAGATCTCGGCGCCCTCTGAACATTATTAAACACAAAAAAAGGCCACCTACCAAAATCATTTCTCGCCGTTTCATCGCCCATTGCGAGGCGAATATTGTTCCGCTGATGCCGCCTTTTGGTGTAGCTGTCTATGCTTATGCGTCGCAGCCTGTGTGAGTGGCTCGGCCTGCTTGCATGTTCCGCATCGAGCACAGCCAACATGCGCAGACAAGTGGTGCCGTACTGCGATTGCTCTGTGCCTAAAATGTTGTTACACATTCCCTCTTCTGAAGAAAGGTTAAGGAGGCAATCCACATAGACGAAAAAAAAAAAAAGGAAACAGGACAGAGCGTCTATTGCAACTGAATTCATGTTTGAAAAAAAAAAACTTGCTTTTATATGCATGCACGCAGTTAAAGTAGCCCTTTAGACCCCCTTCCCGTTTTGCGCTTTTTGTTTCTCTAGTTTCTCTTCTTTTTTTACTTGTCCTTTCTCTTCGGAGAGGCACGCCATATAATGAATATTAACGGCTGGATACCATTATCTGCTCATTAAGATCCACCCACGTTGGCATTTCAAGACTCGTTGAATGCTATATCAGCCCACCCTCCGCTGCCTCCGACAAGTTCGTTTCTTCTCTTTTCTTTTGTTTTACCCTTCCATATAACGATAAACAGAGACTGCGGAGGCTAAAAGCCCCCGTGTACTCCACTCCGAAAGGGTTCTTCGTAAAGCTACAATGTCGGGTCTTTACGATGTCTATTCGGGTGAGAGGTAATGTTTGTCATCAAAATACGGCTTTCTAACTTAACTATGTACGTCAGTCAAGCAAAACAGCTGCTACCGCGCACTTTTGTTGGAGATGGCGTCGACTCTTATGTTAGGAGTTTTTGTCAAGCATGTCTTGCGGTGTAAATTACCCAACTTATAGCCGGCTCTTCTTCGTTATATGAGCTGCTTGCGCAAATACGTAGTTGTGCGTAGCCTGTAGACTGGTCTCGGCCCTTGCACATCTCGGGACTTTGAATGAATAATGTTATACTGCTCGAGCTTATTTCTGGAGCACAGAGTGTGTTTACCTTACTGAATGACGAATGTTTCGTCAAGTGAACAGACAACTACGGAGTCAGTTGTACACCGCGCATATTTATCTAATTCGGGTAATTGTCAGCACTACAGACAAAATAATTTAGTTGAGAAAAATTTTAAGGCGCAAAAGTGATCACAGCTCACTCGTCATCCGCGTGGACATAAATCTTCGCCGAAGCTGAATCTGTAAGTTTAGTGATGTGCCTACGAGACTTACAAGAGATTTTATTTTTAATTTAGACAGTTAAAGAAAGGTTCTTCCTTTTGAATATGGCACACAAACTGTTCGAAGTGTTCTCAACGGATCAAGTTAAACGTACAATCTGCACCTTCTCCCTCAAGCTGTTCGTTTCTGCGTAACAAAATGACGCGCTTCTGGACATCTGGGAAGATTTGCAGCGCAGAAAAATAAAAACGCAAATTGAATCACGAGACGACACACGAGTGCTTACGAGTAATCTCGTCTCTACAAATCTTTCCAGATGCGCAACCGACAATTCGCCGCAATTTTCCTTTTTGGCCAGCCAGCCTAAACGTTTTCTCACGAAAGTAACAGCACCCTCACTGTTCCATCGTTTCTGAAGATTCTCCTCAAATATACAGAACGAAAACATGGGCGGTCGTGCATGTTCTCCCTTTGATAGTGGAGTAGGCGCATGACCATATACATATTTCAATGCAATCTCACTCACGCGTACACGCAAAATTTGTTTTCGTTTAACAGCCTTAGAGAGAAAGAAATAAAACGAATTGCCACCTTATAATCTGAATGTGAAGAGTTTTTATAGTAAGGCCGAATCAGTCTCCAATAGTTCAGTGATATAAGAGAGGCAGTGAACGGCGCTGTCTTTGCAGATGGTAATAATTCATATTTCATGTCCCAAAACCACGATATGATTATTAAAAGGCGCCGTATTAGAAGGCTCTAGAAACTCCAACCACCTGGTGTTCTTTAATGCAATCTTCAAGTTTACACGACAGTCCATAGCATTTCACTTCACTTTAAATGCAATCGCTACAGCCGGGATTCGATCTCGCGACCTTGGAGCAATCAGTTGAGCACCATTGTTTGGCGGGCGCAATTTCCAGAAGGAGCCACCCAGTCACATGAAAGGTTATAAGTGATTTATTACCTTTTTTTCAATGCTGGGAGAGGGTTTAGCCTCGTGAAACAGATATGCATTGTTTTAGTTTGGAAATAGTACATACATTCTTTACGGAGAGCCCTCCTCTTGCGACATTGTCTGAACCCTTTAAACACACTTAACGGGGCTCGGCGCTCGGCTATGTTTTGCGTAATTATATACGCACAGCCTCCTTCTTCTTCTAGTTAGTCAAACGCTTTATTTCTTACAATGGTTTTGTTACGAGATAACATTGTTACAAGGTCTGTGACTACAAGTGAAGTACAAGTCGCACACAGCGTGAGAAAAAAAAAAAAAACGCCTTTCGTTCTTAACACAAGGAACTACGCGCAATGTTCAAGCGTGGCCGTCTGCATGGACGACTAACTTGCCTTGGTTCCATTGGTTTCTTTCTTTTCTTTCTTTTTTTTGAAGGGGTGGAGGTGCTGTTTAACTTGCCTAGGTTCCATTGTTTTCTTTCTTTTCTTTCTTTTTTTGAAGGAGTAGAGGTGCTGTTTCACTTGATAACGTGCAAAAGAATACCTTAATTGTGCTGCGCCCTCACCTAAATGATTTCACACTCTCACAAAAAAAAGGAAAATAAACGAAAAATGGTGAGTTGTACGCATGAGTTCAACAGTGACCTAGAGCGTGTGAGGTCATTCAGTTATTTTTCTCTCTCTTCTTTTCCTCTCGCGCACGGGCCCACAATGTGCAGCAAGGACGTTTCCGAGCGAAAGCACTGACTTTGTGGCCGCATCGTCAAGTGCACTCCACGTCTTTCAAGATCCTTCAACTAGTGTGCGTGATCGGCGCGTACGCCGTCCATCCCATTTTCGTTCGCTGAATTTCGGAGTTCGGCGTTCTAAAGAGACTGAGGCTGTGAGAGACTGCGTAGTAGAGAGCTCCGAGTGAATAGTACCACCTGCAGGGTACTTCACATGCACTGGAGTAGCACTGTGTCAGGGCCTCTTAGCATTCCGCCTCCATTAAACGCGACCGATGCGGCCGGAATCAAACCGCATCTTTCGGGTCACCAGCAAAGCCCCGTGACCGCCGAGCCTCCGCGACGGCTGTTAATCCATTCAATGTACGAATACAGGATAATACTACAAAATGAGACGCTTTAGAGACTCTCTATAA